GACCATAGTGGGTGGAGCTGCAGGGCCCCTCCCACAGCTCAGCTCCTAGGTACAGCACAGGGATGATGCCACTGCTACTTTTACTGGGTAATTTCCAGGTTTGTGTAGGCACTTGGCGCACACAAAGTGGATTTATTTTCATTGTGGCTATTGAAGAACATATTTTTATAAAAAATGATTGTCCAAATGGGATAGTTGACAGGGTCTTTTTAAATTCTTGAATCTTCCAGTACAGCGGGCTTTTAACAGACCAACAAAATGCCAAGCTGTTTTCTTGCATGTATAAAAGAACGGACTCATAAACCAATGAAGATATTTTTGGTTTTGGCCTCCTAAGTGTAACTCTGTCCAAATACATCATCCGCCCCGACTCCCATGCGTTGACAAGTGTATTACGCTAAGACTACACCGCACGCAAAAACCATATGCGCGTCACATTAGTTGCATTTATTTGTACGCGGCGATGTTTCCATTTGCATAAAAATCCTTTCGGTAAATAAGTGAGCGAATGTGTCAGGCAGAAAGCATCTTTGAGATAACGGCAACAAAACTGACAGCCTTGTGTTTCCTTCTGATAAATAGTCTCCCTTTGAATGTGTACAGCAGAAAGCCGTTTGATGCTCAAATGAGACGGATTTATCAATCACACTACAAAGAGACTCTTCATTTCCTCTCTGCCAGCTCCAGCCCAACTCGTCCTGTTTGTTCGACCAAACAAACATCGGCCAGTTCTGAAAGCATTACCTACTCCTGCGGAATGTAAGGACAATTTGTAAGACCTGTGAAAAATAAACAGAACACACGCTAAGCAAGCTGGATATGGAAAATTTATGGTCGACTTGCGTCTAAATCTCCCTTTTCTTCTGAAGCCTGATCCGCATTCGGATCGCGCTTTAGGAGCTACTGACAGGCGGCAAGGAAGTGATGTGACTCCTCCTCACCATCTGTTTTAACCTCTTGTTTGCCGACAAACACGCTGCACTGCAATGCATGAATTTGCAGCACTTCTCCATTAGCTAGAGTGTGGAGCGTTTGGTGGGCTGGCTGCTGGCCAGTTGCTTAAGGGGTGCTGTTGGCAGGTGGCAAAAACACAGCTCAACCGAGCATTTTTCCACCCTCTAACTGCACGTCTAAATGAAGCCTTACAGAATGGTGAGAGTGGGTTATTTTTGAGTGATGACGACTATATTGATCTTTTTTATAAAACTTTAGCACCACGTTGTTTTGTTTAACCATTTGCCATCTGCAGGCTGTATATAACTTTCAGGAGCTCAAGTGGTTAAAACAACCAACAGCAGCTATCCAGTGAAAGTGATTCACATCATCCAGGGTCAACGGCTACTGTTATGAGATGCTGATTCACCAATCAAATCCTGGAGCCTGTGCAGTTCGTAGCAGTGTTAAAAAATGTCTGACACAGATCAGCCCCTGATGCAGCCTTTCACCCCCCCTGATCAGCCTCTGATGCAGCCTTTGCTCAAAGGTACAGTGTTTTAGTCTGATCTCTGGGCAAGAGACAATAGCAATGCTGCCTGCAGCAGACTGATAACATCATTTCAGCTGAGATCCCTACAAAGCATGAATGACACGCTCAGGGGTGGGGGTGATGGGATCTATGTATATCATACATGACAAGCTCAGGCCTTGGGTGATTGGATCCATGTATAGCATGCATTACAATCTCAGGCCTGGGGTGATGGGATCCATGTATAGCATGCATTACAAGCTCAAGTCTGGGGTGATTGGATCCATGTATAGCTTTCATGACAAGCTCAGGCCTGGGGTGATGGGATCCATGTATAGCATGCATGACAAGCTCAGGCATGGGTTGATGGGATCCATGTATAGCATTCATGACAAGCTCAGGCCTGGGGTGATGGGATGCATGTATAGCATACATGACAAGCTCAGGCCTGGGGTGATGGGATCCATGTATAGCATACATGACAAACTCAGGTCTGGGTGATGGAATCCATGTATAGCATGCATTACAAGCTCTGGCATGGGGCGGCGGGATCCATGTATAGCATGCATTACAAGCTCAGGCCTGAGGTGATGGGATCCATTTTTTAGCATTCATGACAAGCTCAGGCCTGGGGTGACGAGAACCATTTATAGCTTTCGTGACAAGCTCAGGCCTGGGGTGATGGAATCCATGTTTAGCATTCATGACAAGCTCAGGGCTGGGGTGATGGGATCCATGTATAGCATTCATGACAGCTCAAGCCTGGGGTGATGGAATCCGTGTATAGCATGCATGACAAGCTCAGGCCTGGGGTGATGGGATGCATGTATAGCATACATGACAAGTTCAAGCCTGGGGTGATGGGATTCATGTATATCATACATGACAAACTCAGGCCCGGGTGATGGGATCCATGTATATCATTAATAACAAGCTCAGGCCTGGGGTGATGGGATCCATGTATAGCATTCATGACAAGCTCAGGCCTGGGGCGATGGGATCCATGTATAGCATAATGACAAGCTCAGGCTTGGGGTGATGGGATCCATTATAGCATGCATGACAAGCTCAGGCCTGGGGCGATGGGATCCATGTATAGACAAACTCAGGCCCGGGTGATGGGATCCATGTATAGCGTTAATAACAAGCTCAGGCCTGGGGTGATGGGATCCATGTATAGCATTAATGACAAGCTCAGGCCTGGGGATGGGATCCATGTATAGCATGCATGACAAGCTCAGGCCTGGGGTGATGGGATCCATGTATAGCATTCATGACAAGCTCAGGCCTGGGGTGATGGATCCATGTATAGCATGCATGACAAGCTCAGGCCTGAGGTGATGAGATCCATGTATAGCATTCGTGACAAGCTCAGGCCTGGGGTGATGGGATCCATGTATAGCATTCATGACAACTCAGGCCTGGGGTGATGGGATCCATGTATAGTATACATTACAACCTCAGGCCTGGGGTGATGGGATCCATGTATAGCATACATTACAAGCTCAGGCCTGGGGCGATGGGATCCATGTATAGTATACATTACAAGCTCAGGCCTGGGGTGATGGGATCCATGTATAGTATACATTACAAGCTCAGGCCTGGGGTGATGGGATCCAGGTATAGCATTCGTGACAAGCTCAGGCCTGGTGCGATGGGATCCATGTATAGCAGACATGACAAGCTCTGGCATGGGGAAATGGGATCCATGTATAGCATGCATGACAAGCTCAGGACTGGGGTGATGGGATCCATTTATAGCATTTGTAACAAGCTCAAGCCTTTGGTGATGGGAACCATGTATAGCATTCGTGACAAGCTCAGGCCTGGGGTGATGGGAACCATTTATAGCATTCATGACAAGCTCAAGCCTGGGGTGATGAGATCCGTGTATAGCATGCATGACAAGCTCAAGCCTGGGGTGATGGGATCCATGTATAGCATGCATTACAAGCTCAGGCCTGGGGTGATGGGATCCATGTATAGCATGCATGACAAGCTCAGGCCTGGGCTGATGGGATCCATGTATAGCATGTATGACAAGCTCAGGCCTGGGGTAATGGGATCCATGTATAGCATCCATGTATAGCATTACAATCTCAGGCCTGGGGCGATGGGATCCATGTATAGCATGCATTCAATCTCAGGCCTGGGGCGATGGGATCCATGTATAGCATGCATGTCAATCTCAGGCCTGGGGCAAGGGATCTGTGTATAGCTCCAGTGTCTCTTTAGTTATCTATATCCTTAGAACATAATTCCCAGTCCCGGTAGAGGTAAAACATTCCACCCACTGCAATGTTGCATTGTCAAAATAAAATGGAAGGCCATAATTTCATCCCATCCTATCAGTCTGTCAGGCAGCAGGATTGTAGACAAAGACCGATTCTCTGATATCAAACAAATTGTAGGACTTGTCAGCTCCATCTGAGAGAAAATGATAGAATCACGAGCTTGTGATGGTTTAAATTGATAACAGAATAACAGGCATGGTTTGAAAGTGTTGTATTCTCTTAACTGTGGGAGAAAATCGGAAGAAACTAGAGCCTATGTATAAAATGCTATATCCCTGCTCCCTGATATCTGTGTATATAGATGTGTATACTCAATGCAGGGATTGCAAAGTCTTTTTCAATGTTTATTTAGCTGAAGATGTCAAAGTTAGCAGTTTGATGAAAATAATCCTATGAACACGCTTCTTGTGTTTTAACCACTTGCCCTCCAGAGGATTTACCCCCCTTCCTGACAGGCCATTTTTTGCAATACGGCGCACTGCGTTACTGACAATTGCGCGGTCATGCAACGCTGTACATAAAAAAAAACATTTATGTCCTTTTTTTCCCAACAAATAGAACTTTCTTTCAGTGGTATTTGATCACCTGTGCAGTTTGTATTTTTTGTGTTATAAACAAAAAAAGACCGACAATTTTGAAAAAAAAAAATATTTTTTGATTTTTTTATTTCAGGTACTTATATAGCACCATCAATTTACGCAGCGCTTTACATATATATATTGTACATTCACATCACTTCCTAACCCTCAAGGGGTGTACAATCTTAGGTCCCTAACTCACATTCATACATACACATATTAGGGACAATTTAGACAGGATCCAATTAACCTACCAGCATGTCTTTGGAGTGTGGGAGGAAACCGGAGTACCCGGAGAAAATCCACGCAGGCACAGGGAGAACATGCAAACTCCAGGCAGGTGGTGCCATGGCTGGGATTCGAACCAACAACCCTAGTACTGCCAGGCGGAAGTGCTAACCATTTAGCCACTGTGCTGCTACATGTCCAATAAAAACATTTTGAAAATCAAGTGTCATCATAAATTTAGGCCAAAATGTATTCTGCTCCATGTCTTTGCTAAAAAAAAATCCCAATATGTGTAAATGAATTGGTTTATGTGAAAGTTATAGCATCTACAAATAGCGGTATATATACTGGTATTTATTTACTATTTTATATTATTATTTATTTGTTTATTTATTTACTAGTAATGGCAACGATCAGAGACTTATTGCAGAACTGCAGGACTGCGGCGGGCATTCTGACACTAGGGGGGAACTAACTGCCACTGACCTCCCCAGTGACACCAATGCAGTGATCAGTGCTAATAAAAAGCACTGACACTGTACTAATGACACTGGGCAGGAAAGGGGTTAACATCTGGGGCGATCAAGGGGTTAACTGTGTGCTGTGTGTGTTTTACATTATGTGCTGTGTGTGTTTTACTAGGGAAACACGCTGCTTTGTATTGCTCTGCTGTGCAGAGCAATACAAAGCAGCTTGTTCGTGCTGACAGGGGAGAGATCTGTATTGTTTACATACAGACCTCTCCCCTGTCAGTTCTGCCGATGATCACTGAGTCCCAGCTGAGTATTGGTGGCCGGGACCCAGTGATTGACATGCCGAAGAGCCAATAGCGGCGCGGGTAGGAAGCGTGCACACATGTCCTCTGCCCAGAAATACAAAATCATATATATATATACGTGATTTTGCACATCCCTGCCGCATTGTAGCAGTATTTCTGCTACAGGGTCGGTCAAGAAGCTGTTAAAAACCGTGTTTCTATGTATAACCTTTGATTAAATATGTACATGCCACATTTGCTGGTTACATAGGCAGGGTTAGCTTACTGCTTCACATGACTATCCATCTGTGCTTTACTAATTTGCTACAAAAATAGCAAGTTTAGATATTAATTTTGCAAAGTGTATGTTCACAATGTTTAGTAAAGCCTAAGTGCAGCCAAAATCCCAAACAAAAAAATCAGCAAAAAGGAAACAACCACAGTCAGTAGGATGTGTCCCTTGTGCTGATTCCTCTTCAGTTCAGCCTCGTTCAGATGTGTGGCCAGCAGGTGGTAAAATTAGGCTGCTGACCCATGGTTTTACCACCCCCTGACCACCCGCCTAAATACTGATATGCAGCTGCTAACAGCTGTACACATCCTGTAGTTGCGATGCTTTGCAAAAATTCAACATGTCGCTTTCATTGGGCATTGCTGGCATTAAATGTGACCAATCCAGATCTACAGGGCAATGCTGCAACCGTGTGCAATGCACACAACTGTAGTATAATAATGTGGCATTTATTGGGGTAAATCCATATTGCCTCCTCACTGTCTGTCCAATGCCCTCTGAAAAGCGATCTGCTGGGAATTAGGGCAAAGTCAAATGTTTTCTGGATGGGGAAAAGTACTGCATTATGGCCACTAGATGATGCAGACTATCATAGGAACTAAGTACGCTCCTCAGCACCATTTAGCGGCCATACAGTGGTATTTTCCCCATTTACACCTTTGATCTGTAGAGAATATAGCCTTAGAACATTCAATTTGCTCCACTCGCACAGAACGAATTTACATGCAATAACGATGGAGGAGCAGGTACGCATATATTTTTCTAATGTGTTAGCTTGATATAAACACTAGAAAAGGAAAAAAAAAAAGAGCAAAAACCCAAAAAAAGTATATATACATACACACATATATATATATATATATATATATATATACACAGGCAGACCCTGAGTTATAAACATCTGACTTACATACTGTACAACTCATACGTAAGAATGGAGGCAGTGTGACATAATGCTGATCCTGGAAACCCACAAGGAAGAAAAATGTATTTGAAATATATTTACAAAATATTCTTCCCAAATATATTGACATATATTTGAAATGCTACAATTTCGGTCATATTCAATATATTTCAAAATACATTTCAATATATATATATACTGCATGTTGAAATGCGTTTTTATTGCAAAATATCTGAAAAATATTTTTAAAAATACATTTCAAATATACTGTATGTCTTTAAAAAATAAATACAAATGTACATTTTTGGATTGCATTTACAAATATATGTAAAAATATATGTTAAAATTACTTTTTTATATGTTACGAAATATATGAAAAATATTTTTTTAAATCTCTTTTTTTAAAATGCATTTATATATATGCATATATATATATATATATATATATATATATATATATATATATAAATATATATATATATATATATATATATGTTATACTGCATGTTGAAATGTATGTTTAAAAATATTTTCAATGTATTTTGTAATAAAAACGCATTTCATCATGCAGTATATATATATATATTGAAATATATTTTGAAATATATTGAATATGGCCAAAATTATAGCACTTCAAATATATGTCAATATATTTGGGAAGAATATTTTTAAAATATATTTTGAAATATATTTTTCTTCCATATGGGAACCGCCGGGCAGCCATCTTGACTTTCACTGATTGCTGCCATCTACTGTCCGGTGACCTGTCAGCAATCCCACATCACTGCATGGCCAGTTAACCCTTTACTTTCCTATCCAAACTCATTGGCTAGTTACACTTAAAAAAATTTACCTATTCCAACTTACATACAAATTCAACTGCAAGAACAAACTTACAGAAATCTATTCATAACCTGGGGATTACCTGTGTGTATATATATATATATATATATATATATATATATATATATATATATATATATAGTATTTATCATTTTTATTTTATCTAATGGGTTTCACAGACCGCGGTTTCATGGACAATTGTTTTGCCTTTCTTTACCTGCACACTTTTTGATTAATATATGTGGACTAAATCATTTTTTTTATATCTGCTGGGGGGGTTGTTAAAATCTTAGCCCTGTAGCACTTGACCTTGGCCGGCGAGCATGCTGGATCAAGCCTGCCATGCATTCATTGAGTAAGAAGCAGCCCAGATGACTGACAGGCGTCTCTTGGTTGCCCTTTTGGTGGCCCCTACTTCAGACTTGTCTCCCTGCCAGAGGAGACGTACAGGGCCCCGGCTCCCCTCATGTCACGGTAGGCCTGCTTTGCATCAGCTGACATCGCGAAGTGACTGACTAATACTGACATGAGAAGATTTCTGACAGAACAAGAGCTTGATGCTGCAGTGTGTGCACGTGCCCTGCATACCTTCTATCCGGGAATCCTGAATCCACGCAAAGCCACTGTCCCCATAAATATTTATCTTACAGTAATGGATTCTCTCTGGCATACATAGAAATGAATAGAATGTGTAAATAGACGTTAAGGCAGGGAGTAGATGTGGAATTAAACACAAATGTGGTACAGTTTCGGGCGTCTGAAGTGCTGCCAAGGCATTATCTTGCGCGGTGAAGGGCACATTGCTGTGAGGTAACAGGAATTCATTGTCTTGTCATTATTGATTTCTGAATGCTGCCTCTCATACACATCTCCTCTTATCTGATGTCCTTCATTTCTGGAAGCTTTGAGATGCTGTCTGCTTCAAGATATAAATCAGTCCACAACATGAGCCATGCTCCGTTACCCATTGCGCACATAACAGCGTGATGGATAATGTGCCTGCAGGATAAATCACAGACAATCGCCAAAGATTCCTCTCCATTTGCAGAGGTGGAGTGGTGCACCTTGTGTGTGTGAGTGCACTGCCAAAGGTTTCTTTAAAATATCTTATTAAAGGGAAATGGCGGCATGTTTTCCACCAGTGCGCTATTTTGACTTGCTGTAAAGTATGACCAAAAGTAGCAAAACGTTTCACGTATTTTCATTATATTATTTCATATAAAGATTTGAACCTGTTTCCACTATTGCCTACCAATCTGTTAGGCCATAGACCTCAGATGAGTAGGCACACATGCTCATCTCAAGGTAGTTTTCCACAAACCATAACATTAAAGTGGTTGTAAACCTCTGAAATGAAAAAGGAACAAAGTATATCCTTCTATGTGTACTTGCCTCTATCCAAAGCACAGAGTGACATTTCTCTCTGTTGTCCCTTCTCTCTGCATGAGTCACTCCAAATCAGTTATCCCTTTGGCGCCGGCGCCTCCCAGCCCTGCAAGGGTTTCAGAAGCTGGGAGGTGGGGCGGGGTTTTTCGGGTCATGTGACCGCCGTGAATCACTGTCACGGCGGTCACATGATTGGGAAAGGTCCCAATCGAAAGAGGAGATCGGAACCTTTCCATGAGTACCGGACATGTGTGCTGGGAGCACGCAGGGCGCGCGCTCTCAGCACATATGTTTTTCTTAATTGCACGCAAATGTCAAGGCCCAGACTCCGGGAGGCCGCACATTTGCTTTCGGCCGGCTTAAAGAGGTTAAGCTGACATTCCTAGGTGACAACCACACCCCTCTCCAGCATATTGCAGATGAATGACAGACTCAGCTGTGTGTTTCTCTATGGTGGGGGGGGGAATGTCCTTTTTCTCTTCCCACCTCTCAGATTACACTTAGCTCTGTGCTCTAGCTGTGCAGTGTGTGTAACATCTGAGAAAAATCCTTTGATCTGTGTACTTTGAACTAGTGTACAGGAGAGAGTGCTACAGATAAACAGGTACAATGTATGTATAAGGATTTGTATCACCTGAGGCTAGTCACGTATAGTATATGTAAGTGTTTACAACCATTTTGAAGGAAAATTCCAGGTTTGGATATCTTACATAGTTACATTGGATAGGTTTGGCCGATCTCTCTGGGATCCCTCTAGATCAGCCTTTCTCAACCTTTTCAACACAGAGGAGCCCTTGAAATAACTTTTTGGTCTCAGGGAACCCTTGCTAAAAATAACTATATCTACAACTCATGATACATGAATGTGATGGTCAGTTAGAAGAATGCTCCTTACACTTGTGGTCATTCGGAAGTGTTACCCCCTTACAGATTGCTAAGAAGATCAGTGGTGTCAGTGGGAACGTATCTGAGAGGCAAAAATTGCTCAAGGAATCCCTTTGCAACCTTTGGATGGACCCTGGTTCAGAATCCCTGCTTTAGAAGCTGAAAATTAATACAGTAGGCACCACTACTACAGTGATCTCCACTAGTTTCCAGGGTCCTGTGCATGAGGTAAATTGTTTTCTATATAGACCCCCAAGAGTTGTCATGTCACTAGAAAAAAAGGAGAAGGTAAGTTTTCCAATAGGAACAATTGTACTGGGGGCAGTTGTATAATGAAGGGAATACCCCTAACTTTAGAGAGATTTCCTGTTACATGTTGTGTTGCTGGGACAGGAAGTGAATGAAAATCTCCCCAACAGGGCACAGATAACAAACATATACAACATAACAATACCCAGACATGTTTTTTTAACCCTTCCCATGCTATCCAAAAACACAAATAAATGTTTTGGGTATGCCTACCCTTTAAACTGTATGCAAGCAATAACAATGAACTCTTCATATATGGTCCTTTTTGGTCTGTAAGTATACAATTCAAAGTGTTTGATAAGTGAAAAAAAATCTTGTCAACTCCTTGTGCTGCAGTCTTAGCAGTTGCATTGATCCCTGCTATCCCTCAGGACTATTGAACCCTTTCCCTCTATGATAGTTCTGTCCTTGGGTGGCAACAGTGTTACT